ATATGCCAAAAACAAGGCAAATACCACATCTAGTATCGGGCCCTTACTCAGACAGGATGGGACTTACACAGACGACAACAAGGAAATGAGTGAAATATTGAAATCCCAGTACGACTCTGTGTTTTAGTGAACCACTAATCGGTCTGAGGATTGATCGACCCAAATGATTTCTATCATGAATGAGCCTCAAAACTCCATAAATGTATGCCAGATTTCCGACATTACCCTAACTCCGATAGATTTCGAAAAAGCCATTGACAACATGCCTATGCACTCAGCCCCGGGCCCAGACTCGTGGAACTCTGTTTTCATTAAGAACTGCAAGAAACCCCTCTCGCGTGCCCTAAGTACACTATGGAGGAGGAGCTTGGACATGGGTGAAATTCCACAGTCACTTAAAACAACGGATATAGCCCCACTCCATAAAGGTGGCAGCAAAGCATTAGCTAAGAACTATAGACCAATAGCTCTGACATCCCACATCATAAAAATATTTGAAAGCAGGATTGCAAATCACCTGGATTCCCAAAATCTGCACAATCCAGGGCAACATGGGTTCAGGGCAGGTCGCTCCTGCCTCTCACAACTACTGGATCACTATGACATGGCCTTGGATGCACTGGAAGAAAATCAGAATGCAGATGTAATATACACAGACTTTGCAAAAGCACTTGACAAATGCGATCATGGCGTAATAGCCCATAAAATACGTGCTAAAGGAATAACTGGGAAAGTGGGGAGATGGATCTTCAACTTCCTAACAAATCGAACACAAAGCGTAGTGGTCAACAGAGTTAAATCGGAGGCTGCCATAGTGAAGAGCTCTGTTCCACAAGGCACAGTTACTCGCCCCCATCTTATTCCTTATCCTCATATCAGACATAAACAAGAGATATACACCACAGCACCGTATCATCCTTTGCGGATGATACTAGGATCTGCATGAGGCTGTCATCTGCTGAGGACGCGGTTAACCTCCAAGAAGATATAAACAAAGTTTTCCAGTGGGCAATGGTAAACAATATGATGTTCAAGTAGGACAAATTCCAACTACTCCGTTATGGAAAACTGGAGGAGATAATAACTAGAACAGAGTATACTACTGACTCCGGCCATACAATAGAGCGGAAAAATAATGTAAGGGACCTGGGAGTAGTAATGTCTGAGGATCTCACTTTCAAGGATCACAACAGTGCCACGATCGCACTGCAAAGAAAATGATAGGATGGATAATAGAAACTTTCAAAACGAGAGATGCCAAGCCCATGATGATCCTTTTCAAATCCACTTGTTCTCTCTAGGCGGGAATACTGCTGTACATTAACATCTCCATACAAACGGGGTGAAATCGCAGATCTAGAGAGTGTACAGAGCCCTTTTACTGCACGTATAAGTTCTGTCAAGCACCTAAACGCTTGGAAAAGCATTTGACTTGTACTCGTTGGAACGCAGGAGGGAAGATATATCATAATCACACTTGGAAAATCTTGGAAGGAATGGTCCCAAATCTGCACACAGAAATCACTCCCTACGAAAGTAAAAGACTGGGCAGGCGATGCAAAATGCCGCCAATAAAAAGTAGGGGCGCCATTGGTACACTAAGAGAAAACACCATAAGTGTCCGGGGCCCAAAACTGTTCAACAGCCTCCCATCAAGCATTAGGGGAATTGCCAATAAACCCCTGGCTGCCTTCAAGAGAGAGCTGGACAGATACCTAAAGTCAGTGCCGGATCAGCCGGGCTGTGGCTCGTACGTCGGACTGCGTGCGGCTAGCAGTAACAGCCTAGTTGATCAGGCCCTGATCCATCGGGAGGCCTGGTCATGGCCGGGCCGCGGGGGCGTTGATCCCCGGAATAACCTCCAGGTAACCAGGTAACAGTAACAAACTGATACTGACAGTGTATATTTGGTAATGTTAGACACGAAATAGGTTTAGTTGAAAATCTCTAGTGCTTTGTAAGTAAAACAAAACAATCATTTAACCTCTGATAATTCATTGACATATCCAGAACAGAATTATTTGCTTTAGTACTGATCTTTGGGGTGCCCTACTTATTACCATTGATCATCCTTAACCTGCTTTTTTCACTGATCATCCTTGACCTATGCTTGGTTTTCTAGTTTAGGAATCTAGTTAACTGCTTAAGAACAAAAGGCTGTATTCTGAGTCTGTTGGGGCACAGCGAGACAAGTGTGGCCATGTAGGTTTTGAGCGGTTAGGAATCTTCCAAGAAAATCATTATTGTCTTATGTCTGGTGAAGTAAACCTGCAGTAGTTGGGCTTCCTAGCCAGATGCAGCATTTCTTAAGGAAGGAATTGAAATACATGTAAGTAATCTTATTCAGTAAATATAGTGATGTGTTAATAATCGTCTTATTATTTATTATTTTATCTATTTATGTATACAAAATGGAAGATAAGGAATTTTACTGATTTATAAGTATTTACAAACATTTTTCACCATTTTTGTTCATTTAGATAGTGTAGACTGTTGCCGTGGTTTCTAATTTCCTTCTAGCCTAAGCTAATAAAGGCTCTTGAGCTTCCTTAGTAAAGTGATGGGCAAACTTGAGCTGACGTCCATGGGAGGTGGATTAAGGTGGATAACAGGAGAGTTTTGGAAAGTTAGTTGTGGACGAGAGTTGGGACAGAAAGAGAAAATGGAGGGAGGGAAAGAGGTGGTAAAGAATGAGGGGTGTAGAGAGAGCAGAAGTTCTCATGTTCAGTCTTTGTGATAACCCTTCCACATCCCTTCCTCATTCTTACACAGTACAATACCAAAACTTGGCAAATAATAATTTCAGTAATTATAAACAAAGATTTTTTTTTTTCATTGTCCTTTTTTTGCAGTAATCTTTTGTATCTTGTTTGTTTATCAGCATAAAATGATGAACTGGTTTCGCATGGTTAGTGAAAAAAATGGGTGTAATCGTATAGCATTGCTTATAGAATTGTCTTATTCCTTTACATTTATATGCACTTCCTTAATAACCACCTCTTAATTTCCATCATTACTTTCTGATATTACTCTGCCTCCTTTCCTCTACCTCTCATTCCTCTTCCTCTTTGTCTCCAGGTCTTCCTGTGTCCTCTCTGGGTTCCAGATACCTGTGTAAATTACGAGTCTCGTTGCACGAGTCAGAAGTTCTGGTTATCCAGATAAAGGCTGCAATTGGCCGGTCTAGTGGATAACATAGTTATGGCATTAACTTGCCAATTACTGTTCTAATTGAGTTTGGTGGCTTCTCTGCCCCGGTGCTCGGGTGTAGAGACCCTTGCAACAAAGTCATGGGCCACAGACCACGTCAGATGTCCCTTCTCACCAATTACCTCGACGACAAATAGCTTGGTCGGGTCACACTTAGCTTGTTTGTTAGTAGTAGTACTGATTGGATATTTGGGAATATGGTGTCTGGATCTCTCAAAGTCTTGTTGTATGAGATGCACCAGTTAGTGGTCATTTAGAGTCTGCATTTGATTGTTTGCACTACTGTGTAAATGTGTGTAAATACTTTAGTAGAATACTACTAATGCTAGTAACAGCAATAGTAACTCTTTTTTTTGTTTACTCATTTGAATTTTAAGACTGGTATAAAGTCACTCGCCACACTTTTATATCATTTGTGGTGGTACCAAAATAAGCATGAAAATCATCTCCAAACAAGACATGGAAAAACTGTAAGACAATATAACAGTGGATCTTGCCAGAAGATATTAGAAACAATGCAGGAACAAGCATACAAGTCTTTAAGGAGAAAATAGTCAAATACCTCCACCAGGTGCCAGATCAAGCAGGCTGTGATGGTTATGTAGGCCAGCAGGCTGCTAGTAGCAACAACAGCCTCATTGACCAGGGAAGCACCAGATGAGCCTGGCTCTGAGAGTAGGAAAAACTCAAAACCCATTAAAAATAAAGATAAAGGCAATGAGCTGTTACATATGCTCAAGTTGCTTTAAAATTCAACCTATTTAAAGCACACCAACACCACTATAATGCAGCCCACAACAGTCTACTAGCACCTCGGTCCCTAATTCTGCAAAGTAAGTAGTGTGTAGAAACTCTGAGGAAACCATCCCATCTGTGATGAAAGTGGGCCATTGGCAGTAACAGCCTAGTGAATCAGGTGAGCATCAGACAAGCCTGGCTCAGGGCTCGGCTGTGAAAGGAAGGAAAACTCTTTGAAAGCCCTCAAAGGTATGTTAAAGGTCCCACCTAGGAATCAAACCTGGGTCTCTTATGGCTATGAACCAAGCATTCTGCCATTCAGCTGCAGGACACTTTTTGCCACCTAATATGTATATGTAGTTGCTTGGAGACCTTGCTGACTCTGACCATTGCCTCAGGAGGTAGGTAAGCAAAATGTGGAGAGTGGCTATTCCATCATTTTTCAGTTTGAGACCTTGGCTCTCCATCCTCTAGCATTCTAGTTTAATCTTTTGAGAATTCATAGAGCTAGAAGAGCATTAGTCATTTAATAGAAGTTTTTGCATGCCTTCAAGTTTTCATATTTGATTGTCACTTTTTCATCACAGCATATCATCATTGAAAGAGTGAGTGAGTCAGAATAACAAGTCTCAAAATTTTGTGTATATAATGTATTTAAAACTCAAGTGATTTCTTAGGTGTGTGTAGCTCTTTAACGCACCTTTTTTCATATTCTATTTTCAATATTCATGTGTAAGGTTTTTATCCTTTGTCCCAGTGTATACCCTGTATCTTATCGTTTTCTTTACCCTTCATTCCCATAACCTGCCTAATAATTATTACACTTTGTTCAGGACATTGTGTAGCTTTCTTCTTTTGTCTCTGGTTTTTATTCTCAGTTTTGCCTGGACTTTGAACTGGAGTATAATATATCTTTAAGTTTTTATCTGTATTAAGTATGATGTTTGTGACCTTAGATTCAGACTAAGTTTAGGTTTGTAGCCAGTAATGTATTGTAATGTACTACTTATTAGTGTAGTGGTGTGTGCTGATTATTTCCTTTAATGTTGCAGGTGTTGCAGATGGTGTAGGTGGATGGCGGGCATGGGGGATAGATCCTGGAGAGTTCTCTCATTCCTTGATGCGTGTAAGTGAACGAGTAGTGCGAAGTGGACAGTTCACCCCATCTGAGCCTGCTGCTATTATTGCCCGGGCATACTACGAACTACTTGAGAATAAAACGCACATCCTTGGTCAGTAGTACCTGTTGGCATGATATAGCTTGTAATTAACAGTATTAACTCCAAAATATCCTTTTTTTCATATTGTTAAAGAATAAAGATCACAATTCTGGGACTTCATAATGGTGTGGGATAAACCAAAACATCCTCCAGTATAGAGTTTTAATTTATGAACCACTTGTGAAATACAGGTACAGTATTCTATTTTTGTTCAAGTTTTTAATTTTAAAATACAGCCTCTCCTCACTTAACGACGGAGTTCCGTTCCTAAGACCACCTTGGTAAATGAATTCGTCACTAAGTGAGGAGCTTACTATAATGGTAGTGGGTTTGTATCAACCATCTTTGATATTATTTTAATGTCATCTTTGCATCATTTATAACACTTCTGGTATATTTTTCAGTGTTTATACAGTTGTGTACTGTATATTATATTAAACAGAATAGAGGAAATCAGCTCTAATATAGATTATTTAGGTATGCATACTGGTCAGAGAGCTTGTCGTAAGTCCAAGTTGTCGATAAATGAGTATGTTGCTAAGTGAGGAGAGGCTGTAGTGTACATTACTTGTATTTTAAACTCAGTTGCTTGAAAAAAAATTTTTTTTAGTAAAATAAAACAACTATAATAAATTGAAAGGCATATTTCAGGAAGCAGCACAGCATGTGTAGTGGTACTGCAGGGAGATGCAGGGCAGCTGTATTCAGCCAATATTGGGGATTCTGGGTTTCTAGTAGTGCGCAATGGATCAGTGGTACACCGATCACAAGAGCAGCAGCACTACTTCAACACGCCCTTCCAACTCTCTCTCCCTCCTCCTGGCACTAATGCTCAGGTCCTCAGTGACAGGTGAGGAATTTTGCCATCCAAACTTTGGGTGGCACAATAAATAACTTATGAACAGGAGAGTTCTAGTGCTGGAATGTAAAGGGAACAAATGTTATGTTGAAGATACGTACTGTATTGTACAAGTACCATCCGACTTACAACTGAGCTTGGTCCTGACTGACTGGTCGTCAGTCAAAATGGACGCAAGTCGAACCTTATGCTTTTAGTACTGTATTTTATACTGTAAGGTTTAGGAGAAACACTGTGTACAACACAAACAGTTGTATATTTGCATACAAAACATTCGTATGCATGAACAGAAAAGTATGAAATAACTTCAGCTAAGCTGTAAACAGTACAGTTGTAGGTACGAGTATGTTGAGCAGGTCGTAAACTAGATTTCTTATATACTGTAACAAAACATAACTTTTTTGCTAGGGAAACTTGTGTTTGACAGTTCACCTGAAATCTTGTGGATAGACACAAAATTTCAGATGCTAATCTTGTAAGAGAAGTGAATATACGTACAGTAGACCCCCACATAACGCTATTAATCCGTTCCTGAGAGCTCAATGTTATGCGAAATTATCGTTATGCGAATTAATTTTCCCCAGAAGAAATAATGGAAATCAAATTAATCCGTGCAAGACACCCAAAAGTATGAAAAAAAAAAAATTTTACCACATGAGATATTAATTTTAATACACACAAACTTAAGAAAACATGCACAGTTACATGACACTAACCTTTATTGAAGATGTGGTGATGATTGATGGGATGGAAGGAGGGGAGACTGGATGGTTTTAGTGTTTAGAAGGGGAATCCCCTTCCATTAGGACTTGAGGTGTTAAGTCCTTTTCCGGGGTTGCTTCCCTTCTTCTTTTAATGCCACTAGGGCCAGCTTCAGAGTCACTGGACTTCTGTCGCACAACATATCTGTCCATAGTGACCTGTACCTCTCGTTCCTTTATGACTTCCCTAAAGTGTTTCACGCAGTGTCAGTGTAATAGTCACCAGCCGGCTTGCAATAGCTGTCTGAGGGTGATTTTTCATCCATGAAGGTTTTTCACTTCAAGCCACTTTGCACAGATTTCCTTAATCTTTGAAGTAGGCAACTTCTTCAATTTCTCTCTCCGAACTGGGAGCCTCACCATGCCTTATCACACTATGTATGCCACTACGCCTCTTAAATCTCTCAAACCAACCTTTGCTGGCCTTAAATTCACTCGCATCACCACTAGTTGCAGGCATTTTTCTAATTAAATCCTCGTGCAACTTCCTAGCCTTTTCACTTATGATCGCTTGAGAGATGCTATCGCCTGCTATCTGTTTTTCGTTTTATCCACACCAATAACAGTCTCTCAACATCTTCTATCACTTGCGATCTCTGTTTCGAAAGCACAGTTAAACCTTTGGCAAGAACAGCTTCCTTGATTGCCGTTCTCTTGGACACAATAGAAGCGATGGTTGATTGGGGTTTACTATACAACCTGGCCAGCTCGGAGACACGCACTCCACTTTCATACTTAGCAATGATCTCTTTCTTCATCTCCATAGTAATTCTCACCCTTATTCCTGTAGGGTTGGCACTAGAAGCTTTCTTGGGGCCCATGGTCACTTATTTTTCAGGTGAAATCACTATAAAAAGGCTGTAATAATACAAAATGTTCCGATTGTATGCTTGAATGTTACCGCGGAGGCTGGCTTGTAAACAATGCCACTGGCAGAACAAGTGAGGCTGGCTCAGGCCGCATGGACGTGTCTTGGATGAATCGCGTTGAGCGAATTTTTTAACACTATGCGAGGCAAAATTTTAGCGATAAAATGTATCGCTATGCGGATTTAACACTATGCGATGCCAACGTTATGCGGGGGACCACTGTATATTTATATTGTTTTATATTAGCTGATAAGAAGCATAGGAGCAAGTAGAACATTTGGGTGAAATGAGAGAAATGGTGGTGTAGTTTCTATCAGAACACAGCCAGTATTTAACCCTTAAACTCTTAAAACGTAGATCTGCGTTCATACGCGTAGTGCTCGGATTTTTTTTTTTTACATGCTCTCGTGTAAAAAAAGGAACAGATCTACTTTCAGAGTGCTGTGCACGTACATGATTGTAGATCTATGTTTGGACAGTTTAAGGGTTAAGAAACACTACAGCGCTGTATGACCCTTGTGGGCTTAGTTAATGATTGTAATAATAATAATGAAAGTGAATATGCTGAGTATTAACAAATGTTTTTATTTCCAGACCAGAAAGTGCTGATACTTTAGAGTTCCTAGTAAAAGAAGGGGACATGCTAATGGTGGCTACAGATGGTGTATTTGATAATCTTCCAGATTCTATGATTATCAAGGAAATGGTTAAAGTCCAGGGTTCTACAGACTTACTATTACTGCAGCAAGCAGCCAATTCTATTGCGCAGCAAGCACGAAAATTAGCATTTGATGAGGATTATATGTCACCATTTGCTCGTAGTGCACGAGAGAATGGAATTAATGCTATAGGTACGTATGTATCTATCTATATATATGTGTGTGTGTATATATATACGTATATATATACATGTATGCAAAACAACCACTGTGAAAGAATAGAGAAATTCCAAGCGCTTTCGTGACTACTCACATTATCAAGGATAATGTGAGTAGTCACGAAAGCACTTGGAATTTCTCTATTCTTTCACAGTGGTTGTTTTGCATATTCTAAAATCACCTGTTTACTGTGATCTTATTGCATATACATGTGTATATATATAATATTATTGTAGTATGCTGAAGTCATTACAAAGCTTTCAGAATTTTTATTAGTTTGAAGTTCATCTCTGCATTATACAATAGTATAATGAGAGAAATCTACATTCTAGAATATAAAAAAAATTAAATGTTTTATATAGCATTCATCTGATATTTTATTGAGTCTAGTGACAGGCATTAAGATGTTTGTTATACTTCACACTCGCCTTACTAATGTGAATGTAATATGGCATACAAGCTCTCATGTTTTTCATTTTTATAGGTGGAAAACCAGATGACATAACAGTGGTTTTGGCCACCATAACAGTGTAAACCCAGCAGGGCCCCAGGAACCCAAAAGTAGTTATTAGTGCAACATCCAGGCAAGTGGTTTAACTTCACCAACTTTGTCAATCACATTGTTATCATATGCTAGGTTTTTACACCACATATTTGTTTATTTTGTATGGAATGAAATAATTGTAATTTTTTTATTGAGAACTTGAAATATATTTAAAGCTCTAGAAACTTATGCTCTTTGCTGGTTGTAAAATATGGTATTAGAGCCTACTAAAGTAATGCAGCCTTTGAAAAAACATTTCAAATACAGTATTTTTTGTTTTGGTTTGGTTTTTGATGTCTAGTTTTCAGTACTCGTGGTAAATGGTTGTTAATAAGCATCTAAAGGTAGTAAATAATTATTGTTGTTATTGAAACATGAATACAATATTTAAGATTGACTGGGACTGTTAAAACTTTTTCACTGTCACTGAGTATACTTGAAACAATTACTGTAGATGTTGCTTTGTACAGGAATTGTTATATTAAGGCTGCAACAGGAATTGGAACCAAACTGATTTATACAAATAAAACTCTAATTTCTGTTGTACTCTTAACCTTTTATTGAAAAAAAAAAAACAATTAAGGTACTGTACTGGAAACAAACACACATGCAGTTTAATGTGATCCTTTTTTGACAACGTTTCGCCCACACAGTGGGCTTTTTCAAGTCACAAACAGATCTGTTTGTGACTTGAAAAAGCCCACTGTGTGGGCGAAACGTTGTCAATAAAGGATCACATTAAACTGCATGCGTGTTTATGCTTTCATTGTGTCGGTATTTTCAAGGTACTGTACTAATGGTATGCTTAGCCAATTGCCAGTCTTTCTGCTCAACAGACATGAATGGAGTCACTCTTAATCTGTGGAAATTTTTTAGCCAAAGTGTGCCAGTTTAATCAGTAATATTGGATATAAATCAAAACAGTTTGGCCAGAAAATAGTGCATGCTGAGCATATGTATTTATTGCGAGTGTAATAGTCGAGTTGAACATGTCTACCAAGTGTTACCGTTTTTGTTTTGGATAATAGCTGTCCGCACATTCCATGCCCTTGTTTCGTAGCACTTTTACTTCCGATATTTACAGTATTCTAGGGTATGGAGTAGTACATTATTTAGATTGCAAGTCCAAAACCACTTATAAGGCACTACAGAATAATTTATTGATTAGCCAAAACTAGCTGCAAATTAAATTTTTCATAACTCATTGCATATTCCATATCTTAGCTTGCAGAAGTTTCATTCCCAGGATTTATGGTAATGGAAAGTGTAAATAGTTTTATGTTGAAGATTTCCTGGTTATATAATCTTCTGAACTGTGATATGAGAATAAAATGAACACTAATTAACAGTGATCAACAGTATCAGTAGTCATATTTGGTCAAAGTGGTTCATACAAATATGAGAGGCTCATAATCATGAGATTCATATTTTTTATGCTTTTTGTCTTTCTACCCCAAGTGCCTCCCATCCAGGACTCAAACCTCTGGTACGACAAAGTAGTCATGCTTCACAGTGGCTAGTTCTTTGCCAGGGCATGTAAGGTTGGTTGTAACTCTGGTACTAATTGGATTTCCTAGATTAATAATGCCTATATAAATTTTTAAGGCTTGCCCAAAAGATTTATTGAATACTATGGGATCATTATTACATACCCTAGAATTAATTATGTTGCAGCATATCAATTACAAATAATTTCAGAGAGAAGTTAAGCTTATAATTAAAATTTGAAACTGATAAATGTGAGCTGCCACATTTTCTCAGTGTTGTTCAGATTTGAAAATTGGTAATGACATGTACAACATGTAGCTAAGTTACATAGCCAGTATCCATACAAGGGTGGTAAACATCTAATGATGTTCTTTTCAAGATTGTTATTTACTAATACTTTAAGTATTGTTATGTAGGATTTAAATGTTTAAATATCAAATCTTATTTTCTTTTATTTAAAATCTAGTCACACACAATGGTGAGTTTACCTATTCACCCATGTATGTTGGGGCAATATTATATTAATGGTTGTTTAAACATAATTCCTTGCACCCTTGTTTACTGTACAGTGTGATCTAGCATACATATTTATAATTATGGGAAACTCCCAAAAACTTACCCATTACTTGAACTTGGAAATTTAGTTAAAATTTCATTTAAGAAAAGCACAATATCTACGACAGATTTCTGGGGCCCCAAGACCCTAGCTTCTGCAGTAGTAGTGAGGAATTGCTCACCTAGGAACGTAGTATTTGTAAATTTGATAGTATATTGTTATGGCAGGTGGATAAGTTTATTACAGCCTGAGTAGTGTGATCGATTCTTGGTATTTGTACTTTTCAGTTATGTTTGGTAAATGTTGGGAACAGCTGCAATGAAACTGATGTTATTTTAAAGTCTTGGGGGGTAATACCTCAGCTTTTTTACTTTAATTTTTATTCTTGAACCTCTTTCATTGCATTTGATTTATCATTATTTACTTTTTTTATATATATTCATTATATCTGCAATTTGTAGATCTTTAATGAATTACAGTACATTTGATTTGAAGTGATATAATTTAATACTATTGGATTAAAAATTTTGAAATTGCTATCAGATACCAAGAGCTACATGCATTTACAATTTGATAATTTTTCTGAACTGCTACTGAGCTTTGACATAATCTTCAACTTTGAGTTCAGTAATGTATGTAAGCATGTTGATTACACTGCAGTGATCAATCGTTAATGCTATATGATATTAAAAAACTCGTATTTTAAAATTAAATTAAATTGAACATGGTTCTCATTTCTCTTGTCATGGTAAGTGCTATAATGTACATTTATATTTTTTGTTTGAGACAGCACAGGTGATTATAAGCATACCATTTTGAAAATACCTGTCCAGTTATTAAATCATTATATACAGTAAGAAAGTTTTAAGTTTATACTTGAATGTGTAAATAAGTTATTAAAAATGAAATACTGGATAAAAAAAAAAATCCTAATGATCATGAGTATATGAACGATGTAATTTGTTGGCACATTGTATCGGTGTCAAACGTTTGTAAAAGTTAATTGAAAAAAAGGTGGAGAAATTGTGATGTTGTTTAAGACAATGCAATATACTGTATTATGTATCATATTTGTATTATATTAATACATAGTGAATAAAAAATTCATTATTCTTACCCAAGTATTTGATGAATGTACATTCTACATTGTGCAAGGCATGTATGTATGCACTATACCTGTTAGGAACTAAATTGTGCATATTAGGAATACATATTTTGAAATATGAAAGTACCCATTTGTATTACATTAATTTTCAAACCCTAAACCCAAAGGGGCCATACAGTACCTGGAAAATATAAGGTAAGGAAGGGTGAGTTAGGTCCAGTTACCTATTTGAGCTTGCCAGGAGAGCTGTAGCTCTTGGTCCAACCTCTTCACTGACTGATGTCCTATCCATTTTGAAACCCTAATATGATAATCTGCTTCCATTGTTACTTTAATGTTAAACAGCCCCTGTTATGTGTATATAATTGGGAAGTACAGTGCCTGCACTTTAAAGGGGACACACACTTCCCTTTTATATTCATGGGGGGGGGGGGTGCAAAACCCATAGGGGTTATGCAGTGCCTAGTAAGAATGGGAGGTGGTATTGAAGTTTGAGCCAAGGTCAGGTCCAGTCACTTGGATCAAGAGCCACATTGTGGCTACCCTCACTAGCTGTGCTTTCCTAAAAGATGCATCTCCTGTAGATCAATGGTAAAGGTAGGTAGCTTAGGCAGTAATTTTATAGGGAAAATAATTGGATTACTGAAGGATCTGTATGAGTATAGTTCTGTAAATGATATGAAAGTTTTAATGTGGAAATCTTGACTAATAAAGGAAAGCCATAAAATCTAAAAGTAGGTAATAATATAATAAAGAAACTCTTATGTTTATTATAATTTTGTCTGTTTAACAGACACTTGAGAAACTCAAAAAATGGAGCGAGACTTCACTGACACACTGTATCTACACCTTTTAAGTCTTTCTTCATTATCCGAGTTTCCCTACAATACAAGCCTTCCACTCGGGAAGGAAAAAGGAACAGAGTTGTAGCCAGAGATGGTTACACACCCCCAGTGACTGGATTAAGAGTTGTGAACATATTTAATAAAGTAACTGCAACTCATCTTTCATACTCCTCACAGTCTTGCACCCACAACAAATTTACAGTAGATACACAAAATAATGACTTCATAATTAAACCTGAAGATTCGTATGACTGGGTGGAAACAGGCAAAGAAAAAAAAGGCATGTATAAAAATAATTGGGCAAATATAAAAGGAACACTTGTTTTACCAGAGCATTCTTACCATATTATAACCTAGAGACTGGTGAGGGGCTCTTGAGTCAAGGAATTAAAATTGTTCTCTACTTCCTTAAATTAAATCCCAATTATCTCCCATTTCCCAGGCACTGTAAGAGTCCAATGGGTTTAGCACTTTCCTGTAAATAAAACAAAATATATACACCTGGGAGGGTGCTAACTCCATTGGGGTCATAGTGAATGGGGGATGGGAAGCACAGGTTCAATCCAAGAAAATGGATAAGTTCACTTCCTTGGATTGAGAGCCTCTAACTGGCATAAAGGCATCTTTCTAGGGGCCTTAGTGATATTAAAAAATACACAGCATTTTCTGTGCATTTTGGAGAGTTAGTATCGTATTTAGCTTTCTGTGCAAGGTAAACTACTGTAGTGTAGCCTATGGTAATAAAATGCTTACTAAACAGGCCTGTAGTTTCTCGATAAGACCATGACTATGGAATGACTTATCGCTGAAATAAGACAGGATATATCTGGTAGTTACACAAAGCCACAATATACCAAACTGTTGTTATTGAAAAAAAGTTAAACAATTCAAAATTTACATAGCCAAGAAATCTACCTATATATTTTTTTAACTGTACAATACAGTATACACTAGTACCAACAGTCGAGTCCTCTCTCTTAATCTATTATACAGACCTATATTAATGATTTAAACATGCTATGTTCCCCACAGGCCAAATGACTAGACTGCCAAGAGCACCTAGGTGGTGATAAGCAAGCACATTATTCACACCAGTAATGAAGCCATTATAAAGCAACAAAATAATAGACATCTGCATAGTGTTGAACCTGCAAAGAAAGGACATTTGCTTCTGTATGTAAGCTCTCAACTGGGAATATCGAGAGATGCCTAAACATAAATATCATCTCTGATAATGAATGGCATACAATTTAAGTAGCTGAGAAATATACTGTACTAGACTCACGAAATCGTAATGACACGATTGCAAACAAACCATACCCCGGCCGGGATTGAACCTGTGGTCAGAGAGTCGGGCTGGAGTTTTGAGACTGACCGCCGGTTCAATCCGGCCGGGGTATGGTTTGATACTGTACTAGGTTTCCATTGTCTAGCTTGGATAGAATTAGTGCTACATGAAGTCTTTATCAGCTCCCTAGTTTGCAGCAGGTTCAGCTTTTCAGATGTAAAACAAAAAGGTCTTAAAACACATACTGGAATAAGGAAGCCATATAGGTATAAAGTAGGCTGTGGGATGATAGGGGTAATCTCATGAAAATTATCAAGTTCATTTTAGCAATAGAAAACTTGGTACCATATTGTGGAAGCAGTTGGCAGCACATTCTAGTGTTGAGTGGTGGCTACAAACTTGACATTCCAGACCTGTACAAATGATGGCAAAATCTACATATAAGAATTACCAGTTACTTAAGGGAAGAACCATTACATATTTTGAATAACTTAGTACTGCACAAGGACACAGCCTTGCAGTATGCCGTTGAATTGCACAAAGTTTGGTGAAAGGCTATTAATGTACTACATAATCTGGAGTGCTTCTTTGAGAAAAAAAAAAAAAAGTAATCTGCCTTGTAGGTTTATGAAATGAACCTTTACTTTAACAATTTTTTTTTTTTTTTTACAAGAATCAGGTCAGAGCTGTTCCCTGATCACTAGACAACATTAATATTGTTCTTCTGCAACCATATCTTCACCTGTTTTACATAAAGTGTGGTGCCATGACTTTTAGAATATAGGGAAATATTCTTTAAGAGCATCTGTACGTATAGAACATATCCTACACATGTTGTGACTCGTTGTTTGTGGAGTCTGTACCTGGTCAACCATTTAACCCTCAGTTATGATGATAATAATGTACCTAGTCAAAAAGAATATTGCAATAGGATGAAGTGCACTGAGAGATATAAGCATTGTAGCATGTGACTATGTCTTCAGGCCTGGTTGCTGTAAGTTATTATTATTATAATCAAAAAGAAGCGCTAAACCACAAGGGCTATACAACGCTACAGGGCAGGAAGGAAGCGAGGGTATCAGGTGGCAAAAGGGAGATGGATGAGTAGTAGGTTACGGAGACCAGTGGGGCAGCGGATAGTGAAAGGGTAAAGGGCAGCAAGAGACTGAGGTAGAAAGGGCTGAGGGGAGTGCAAAAGGTATCATCATCATTGTCAAGAAGTCAATGAGAGAGTCAGGATTAAAGGAGGGTCCATCAGCAAGAAGGGAAGGTAAAAGAGTAGTAGAGTGGAGACGACGACGGAGGTAAATTCTGCATGCTCGTTGATAGAGAGGGCAGTCTAACAGAATGTGGCTAATCGATACTGGAACTTGACACTTCTCACAGAGGAACAGGGTGCCTCTCCACGAGATACCCAAGAGTAAGACGAGTGTGGCCAATGCGAAGGCGGGAGAGAGTAGTCTCCCAACCTCGGCACTGATGACAAGAAGACGGCCAGTAACCTATGCTCAGTTTAATAGAATGAAGTTTGTTACTGAGTAGAGTTGACCAACGTTGTTGCCAACGGGTGTGAAGGTGGGTAGCTATTACAGCAAAATAGTCCGGAAATGAAACTCCTCTATATGAAATTGGTAGGTCATGTACTGCTGACCGCGCAGCAGTGTCTGCCTGTTCATTGCCCTGTACGTCAACATGACCAGGGACCCAACAAAAAACAATATCTTTATCTTTAGCCAAAGTTGGATACGGAGAACTAGGGGGTGAGGTGTATCAAATTTCCGTATAGCCTGTAGAGCACTAAGGAAGTCTGAGACAACCACAAATGACACAGGCATAGATGCAATACAAATAAGTGCTGCAAGAATGGCATACAATTCAGCAGTAAAAATGCTAGCTGAAGATAGTAAATGCCCTCGCACGACACTCTCCGGAAACACTGCTGCGAATCCGACTCCGCCAGAAGACTTAGAGCCATCTGTGTACGCTGCGATGGCATGAGAATGAGAGTGGAAGTGGTCAAGAAAAAGAGAGCGGGAAGCCACCGTATACAGTTGGGCTTTCGAGCAAGGGAGTGAGAAAGAACAGCTGGAACTTCCCAGGGGAATAGTGAAAAGTGAGATGCTACATGAACATATAAAGGTGGTAACTGAAGGGAAGACAAGAGCAAATGTAGGTGAAGAGAGAAGGGACGGAGCAAACGGGCTATAAATGGAAGGATTGCGGAGATCGTGAGAGCGTACATAGTAGCGAAGGCAATGGGCATCACGGCAATCAGACAAGGATGGAACATTAGCTTCTGCATAGAGGCTCTCAATAGGGGAAGAGCGAAAAGCACCAAGGCATAAACCTAATCCTTGGTGATGGATGGGGTTAAGGCTAGATAGAGTAGCAGGAGAGGCCGCTGAATAGATCTGGTCACCATAATCAAGTTTCGATAAAATGAGGGCTGAATGTAGGCGAAGGAGAGTTCGACAATCAGCTCCCCATGAAAGATGGAGAAGGGTTTTAAGGGTTCAGCGGCTGTGACATTTGCCTTCAGAGAGGTAATTGAAGGGTTCCAGGATAATGCTGGTAAGTACAAAGATTTTACACATTCCCAAAAATTAGGGTCATTGTAATGTTGATCAGTATTAGATGGCAGTTAGTTAGGGGGTGGTCTAACACTCCGTTTGGACTGAAAAGTGGTTGGGGAAAAGTAAGCGGATTCTTAAAAAACCCTAACAAAAAAAAAAAAAAGTGCCCAATTTGATAGGGCCTGGTCTAGGGCTGGACTGCAGGGCATTAATCCCAAGGAGCAGTTACGGCGGAACTTGTATGCTACTATCACCCCTTTCCCCCAGACTGAGCACGGAGGTATGGTGGAACCTCGGTTTTCGTGATAAATTGGTTCAAAAAAGTCTGACAAAAACCTAACTATATGAAAACGGAAGCAATATTTCCCATAAGAAATAATGAAATCCAATTAATCCGTTCCAGACACCCAAAAATATTAACAAAAAATACATTTACTAGAGCATACAAAAACAGAGTTCCACTGTAGTGGCATTTATGGTGGACATGTCAACAAGTTCATTGAGCTGTCCATATAAAGCAATGTGCATGCACTCAAGCCTGTTTAGTTATTAAAGGGTATGTTACAGTAGTGGTCCCATGAAACTGTGGGGGGGGGTCTGCACAAACACAGGGATGTAATAGTTCTGCAGAAGCATTAGTAGGTTCAAGAAAAGCATCGCATGTATAACCAAATTCACCCACTCAAATTACCAAGATCAGCAAGGAGGGAATGGAAATTATTGCTATCATATATAGCATTGTATGACTGGTGGGTTTAATGCTTGGTTTTTTATTATAATAATAATGCTATCATGTAGATCATTTATTACAGAACTACCAAGGAAGAGCAGATAGACCTACACACAAGAAGGTATGGGTCTGCCATTCTACATGTGTAGAAACAATGGTGATGAAGACATGAAATATATTTTTTTATTAACACACCAGTCTTTCCACCAAGGCAGGGTGACCCAAAAAGAAGAAACACTTTCGTCATTCACTCCATCACTGTCTTACCAGAGGTGTGCCTACAATACAGTTCAAAAACTGCAACATCTACACCTCCTTCAAAGTGCAGGCACTGTACTTGTTTTCCTCCAGGACTCAAGTCCAGCTTGCGGTTTCCCCAAATCCCTTCATAAATGTTACTTTGCTCACACTCCAACAGCACATCGTCATAAAAACCAATTGTCTCCACTCTCTCCTATCTAACATGCTCATGCATGCTTCTACAAGTCCAAGCCCCCCTCACACAAAAAGTCCTTTACCCCCTCTCTCCATCCTTTCCTAGGCCATCCCGTACCCCGCCTTCCTTCCACTACAGCTTTATATGCTCTCCAAGTCGTTCTATTTCATTACATCCTCTAATAATAAGAAATCTTTCAACAAAATGGCCATATCCCACTGAGGCAGGGTGGCCCAAAAAGAAAAACTCAAGTTTCGCTCTTTAAATTTAGTAATACAGAAACTCCTCACTTAACGAAAGAGTTCTGTTCCTAAGACCATGTTGTTAAACTAATTCATTACTAAGCAAGGAGCATACTATACTGGTAGTGTGTGTCAACCATCTTTGATATTATTTTAATGTCACCTTTGCACCATTTACAACATTTCTGGTATATTTTTCCCCTCAAGGAAGGTTCCTTGATGTTGGTGAGGGGCTCTTGATTTAGGGAATTGGATCTATGCTCCAGTTCCCCAAATTAAGCCTGAATGCCTTCCACATACCCCCCCAGGCGCTGTATAATCCTCCGGGTTTAGCGCTTCCCCCTTGATTGTAATAATAATCTGGTATATTTTTAAATGTTTATACGGTAGTGTACTGTATATTGAAATAAACAGAAGAGGAAATCACCTCTAATATACATTATTTAGGTATGAATACTGGTCAGAGAGCCAGTCGTAAGTCCGAGGCATCGGTAAAAGAGTACGTCACTAAGTGAGGAGAGGCTGTATATACAGGAGAAGGGGTTACTAGCCCCTTACTCCTGGAATTTTAGTCGCCTCTTATGACATGCATGGCTTATGGAAGAAGAATTCTGTTCCACTTCCCCATGGAGAAGGAATATTATTAAAATTAAGTGCTAAACCCACTAGGGTCACATGGCAAAATAAAGGATTGAGAAAAGAGTATCCTGTCTTCTGCAAGCCACAATGTAACCCTCCCCACAGTAAATTAAAATTGCCTGATAAATGGCATGGCATAGGTAAGAATGAAATCAGAGTGCATAAAGTCAAGGAGTGTAAAAAAGGGGAAGGATCCAAAGAAATGTGCCATTTGTACAGACCTAGATTACAGCATAGTAAATGAAAATTTAGGAAATGCAAGACATCATTGCCCACAAGAAGTGTGCTTTCTTTGCAAGAGCTGTCAGAAAGCAAATGCATACAGAAAAACAGCATTTAGAGTGCTCCCTAATACCCCCCATAGCCTTGGATATTCCACTGTAAAACTAACAATAACGGTACACCCTTGATTTAATGAACTAATACGGAAAATGAGTGAGCAGACTGTAGTTGATAGAGATGAGGCTGCTTTGCCAGTCATATTATTATTATAATCAAAAAGAAGCGCTAAGCCACAAGGGCTATACAGCGTGCCATTGTCATAGTAACTAACAATTCTGTAATCAATAAACTTGTCCATGTCATGAAATTAACTGACCCAGTAGTTTTTGTCCTGCATTTCCAGTCTTAAGTTGAGGGTTTACCATACTTCCTAATAATACAGCAGTAGATGTGAGCTGGGAGTGATAATGAACTAGAGAGGTCAGTAAATAGGAATGGTAATGACACAAGATTTGCGAGAGGTAGGGTTTTGTTGTGAGAAGTAGTGTGTTAGTGACAAATGTGGGAGGTGGTATAACATTAGTAATATGTGGGATGGGTTATCGTGGCTGGGATGCTGATGTTAGGTAGTATTGTAATCAGTTATGTGGTGTTTTTGTTCATATAGGCTCAGAATAATCAACTTGAGTACTAACCTTGAAAGGAACTTACAGATTTAGATTCAGAAAAAGTCCTGTTGTTACCCCCTCCTCCTCTAGAGGCAGGAAAGTGGTAGTGTAATGTGTGTAGAATGGGCAAGGAAAGTGGGATAGAGGTGACTGTCATAGACAGTGAAAGTTGTTAGAGGCCAGTTGGCTCCAGTAATGGAAGAGCCTGTAAATTTAGGGCCAACTTCTTGTGTTTGAAGAGAATTTCTCCCCCGCTTATCTAATATTAAAAATTGTAATACTGGCCCACGCAGAGGAAATACCTTAAAACTGCAATTTACACAAGACTTCTCAATTATCTTCTAGAGGAAGTACTAAACTCATGGGTTATACAGTACTGCTGAAAATTCTCACTGTGAAGGTTTGCTACACAGAATAAAATTTGCAAATGTGTTTTTATCAGCAGGATCTCTATTATCACAGCCAGCAATTTCAAATTAGTTTTGAAAGGAATAAGCTTTGTTTTAACAACAATATCTGGAAATACTTAGAGCCTACCTTTTCCTATTTTCTATGGTTGGAAAATTAACTTCTAAACCTAGAACTTACTCTATGAATTAACAGAGCATATTGTATGCATTTTGTGAACAGGCAGACAAATATACACATCCATGCATGCATATGCACACAGTATGAAATATTTCAAATAAATTGATCTAGGTACAAAAATTCAATGTAACTCTTGCCTAATTTTCCTAACTGGATTAAGAACGGTTCTTGTTTGAGTTAATCTTTAATATAAATCTAAATCAATTATACCAATGAAGGATTGAAGAAGATAATGCCAAGAATGTCAATGCAACTATTGTTTGCATAAGTACTGTACAGGTACAACTGCTCAAGCAATCTTTCATTAATTGGCAATTCCTCTTAAGAAAAGGTTACCGTAAAATTATAGTATCAGAGACATCCTGCCTAACTTGCATCCTGCAAATGACCTTAGGCCATTAGATGTTTAACATTACTCTTGGGCCACTGTAAATAAACACTAAACCTTTCAACTTGGTACACTATATTAAGAAGCACAGTATATATCTAAATGATGCCCAAGAAATTTTTAATATTTTACTCTAACATCTCTGGTACTGATAGCATTCAGTAGAAATAAATTGTGATACGTACTTCAAGATGGCGATAATAGGAATAGTGTACACAACATCCCGTTATCTGACTAGTAAAAGAATTCTAATTTTCTAATCTATAAATTCCAATACCTTATGAGAAAATAAACATGTATAATGAATGTATTATATTCAGCAAAATATTTCAGTATAGTAGCAATCCTCAGCACAGACATCTATGATATTTGATCAAAACACGAACAGGGATCCCATACTTTAAAAATAGCTGTCAACATATTTTTTCCAAAGATTATCATATACTTTTTTAATATTTACAAAAGTTTTATGTTAAACTGATCCGACTTTAAGCTTCAACAACCAATGTTAATAATTATTTATTCCATCTGTAAAAGACTGAATAAATACTTGACTACTACTTTAATGTTTAGATCTGAATTAAAGCACACTAATATTTTTATAATTTTCACCACATAATACTCATTAGTGTGCTTCAATAAGAGTGGGAATGGATATATTTATAATTATTTTGTAATGGCCAATAAGCCTCTGAAACCGAGATACATGTTACCAAGGATGTAGAGGTTAAAATCACTTCAGCATTTACACATAAATAGATAATATATCTTGTGATCTTTCAAATCAATATTTTACAAAGCTATACTAAAGACATTTTAATAATATAAACAGTTTGGCTTTCCATTATAGGGTGTATAATCACCAACTTAACCCCTTTCCAAGTAACACAATGCAGTGGCACCGTGGACAGCAGTGAATTGGTCAGGTACCTGCATCAACTTCTGGAATTTCTTCCTCTTCAAGAACAATAGAAGCCTTTGATTTGGACTTCTTCTTTTTCTTTATTTTCCTCTCTTCAGTCTTCTCCACACTGCCTGCCTCCTCCTCTGCCTGTGTTTTTCGGTTCTTCCCACTAGAATCACTGCATGTGCTAATAGTTTCACTGCTACTGCTCCCAAAATGTTGAGTTGAATACCATTCCCAGTTATCTGACCGAAGTTTCACTTTAATCTTTGTCTTGGACAAAGTTTTCTTTCTTTCACTTGTGCTTTTATCATAACTGGTATGCATAAAATCATTCCCAACACATTCTCTTGTTACAAGAGAACTATCACCATTTAAGAAGTTATCAGGGTAAGGGGTATCTTCAGTACAATTAAGCTCATGACTAGTAAGATTGTTATCACTAAAGTGAACACTAGTATGACCATAATAATATTCACCATGCTGTTCATTTTGGCAATTATATGATGTGCCATTAGTCTTTGGATAATAATCATGACCATAAATTCCTACAGAACTTTGAGACAAACCATTGTGCAAGTTTTCATTCACAGTATTCTTAAATTTTTTAACTTTTTTTATTTTTTTTACCTTTTCTCCGCCATTCTTTAACTTTTCTGGTGCACTACACACTGAGGACTTTGGAAGTTTCATCCCTTTCTTATGCAAACTATCACAGCTTGGTAAAGCAGTATTCACAAACTGCCTGTCTAGGCTTAATTCTGTTATATAAGACCTTGCAGTACAGCTGTTATAATCTTCCCCAGAATAAAAAACTGCTTGATCTTGTTCATTTACAAAAGGCTCGTATGAAAATCCTGGTAAATCTGGCAAGTCTGGAGAAGACAAGCAGCTAGGAGGCATAGCATCTATTCCTATAGCTTTGTCACCACAAAACAGAACTCCAGCACTTGATATATCGAGTTTTTCAAGACGGCGGGATCTCCTAGAGCTAGATGATTTTTCAACAATACTGGCATTAGATTTGGATCTTTTTAAAGTGCCATTACTAGATTTCTTCTTCCTCTTACGGTCACTGACAGAATCAACCATGATCGGAATGGCAGGTTCAATTATCAGTAAATCTTGGTATGTTCCTGAAAAAATTTAGATCATGAAATAACAAGCATTAATATAACCAATCCCTACTGTGTGTTCACTTATGAAAGTGAATATTATATATCAGCATGAAACAGTAAGACATCAGTTCTATAGCAACTGTGTGATTCAGTTTAATTAACATTACTGTTATGGTGTGCTTTACCAACATAATTAGTATATCAATGCACATAACAGTACAGTTGTTCACTATATTTATTTGGGAGAGGTGTGAGCTAAAGAGATAATGAATCTGGTATGAAATGAGAGTTATCAGTTACTTTTTTTGTTGACTGTGCTTTTGGAAGATCCTGAAGAGAATTTGCAAAGGTTAATGTGGTAATTTAGGAAAGTGTGTAAAAGAAAACAAAGAAAAAGAGTAAGGTGATGAAAATAAGAGAAAATCTAAGCAATGAAGGGTTGGACTGCAGAGTGGAAGATGAAGTAAATATAATAAATATTTGAGAGTTGATAGGTTTATGAAAGATAAACAAAAGGTAGGTAAAGTTCTGAGGTATCTATGATGAGAAAATTTTATAATAGTATGGGATTATGTTTGCCAAAACTTGCACTTAGGAGAGGAACATTAAGATGACTTTTCAGTCTGTCCTGGAAAATTGTCCAATCACACTTGGACAAGAGAAAAAGCAGAGAAGGCCAAAAGAGGGGAAGGGGAATATTTAAAGAAAAAGGAGGAGGTAGTAGCAGGAAGCAGTAGTAGTAGGTGGTGGTGGTGGTGGTGGTAGAAGGTATTAGTAGTAGGCAGTGGTAGCAGTAGTTGCAGGTGGTATTAGTAGGTGGTAGTAGTAGGAAGCAACTGTAATGGTAGCTGGAGGTAGGGGGGAAATTAAAGAAAAAGGTGGTGGTGATAGTGGTAGTAGTGTGAGGTAGAAACAGTAGTACAAGGTAGTAGTAGTAGTAGTAGGTGGTGGTAGCTGCAGGTAGTAGAGAACTGCAATAACAGTAATAGGTGGCAGCAGAGGGTAGTAATAGGAGATAGTAGTAGTACTAGGTGGTAGCAGTATTGCTAGAAGGTTGGTGATAGTAGTAGAACAAGAGAACAAAGCAGCACTGTTCTTCAAGAAATTCACAAATGCTCAAACACCAGGTCATAAATTCAACAATGATGAAATATTAAACTTTACATTCAATACATGAATAACCCACACGTAGAAGAGAGGAGCTTACGACGATGTTTTGGTCTGACTTGGACCATTTACAAAGTCACACTACACACTAATATAAAGGAGAGAAGGAGGGAGTATATATAGGCCGGCAGACAGGAATGGGACAAGAGAGGTAGTGGTGGAGGTGGTGGTAGTAGTATAGTAGTAGTAGTAAAAGTAGTAGTAAAAGTAGTAGTAGTAGTAGTAGTAGTAGTAGTAGTAGTAGTAAGACAAATACTAAGAAAGAGGAGCACTGCAAGGGAGCTAGGGGGCCCTTCTGTGGGACCCTACTACTACTATCTCCACCACTACCTGTCTTGCCCCATCCCTGTCTGCTGGCTTATATATGCTCCCTCCTTCTCTCCTTTATGTTAGTGTGTAGTGTGACTTTGTAAATGGTCCAAGTCAGACCAAAACATCATCGTAAGCTCCTCTCTTCTACGTGCGGGTTATTTGTGTATTGTTCCAGTCATGGTATTGTAACTTTTTATGTTGTTTACATTCAAGAGTGACAATATGATCAGGATCATAAGTTCTAGAAGAGATATGTGCTTTCAACAGAGACTTAAGAGCATGAACAGATTCTTAACTCTTAACTGAATGATTTCTTCCCAACAGCATAAGGTATAATCAGTCTAAAAGGGGTCCACAGCAATTGTAAAAACATTCCCATGTTCCATGTAACAGTCATATCAGCAAGATACTTGGGTTCATTAAACTAACAGCTTTAACTGTAAATAAACAGTTTAAATTCAACTCTTGTCTTGACAGGAAGCCAATGCATCTCCCAGATAGGAATGAAAATACCAGTCTAGCTGCACAATTCAGGACAGACTAGTCATTCTAACAAGTAGTTAGGCAAATCAAGAAACAATTGCAAAAATCAATTTGAGAGGCAACAAACTCATGGATAAGGACCAAGATGCTCAAAGATATTATCTGATTGGATAGAGATTATGAATATGAAAATTTCAAGATTTTAATTTATGACTGATAGGTCCAACAAACATCAATGAATGCAAAATGAAGAATGTCCCGAAGTAAGAGTAGTACCAATATTTTCATGTGGGTGTATGGCATGATGCAATGAGGAAGTTGGAACCCGATGAAATAACATGTTTGAGATCAGTGAATGATGTGAATATTATGCAGGAAACAAGGAACTTTTTAACTTGACTTATTCAGCAATGATCATTTTGCTAAATAAGCCCAGATTATTATTCCAGTACAGAATATTTATGGAGAAGCTCTCTAAACCAGTAGGACTCAAACAGTGCCTCAACAATAGAAAGTAAATCAGAGTTGTTCCAAGGAAGGGGAGGAAAATTCTAATTCCTGGACTGAAAGCCATTCCCCCATCATCAGCCTCAAGGAACCTCCCTTGAATGATAAACAAGTGAGAGTAAATTTATTTTTGCAATAATTGTAAAAATCAGCTGGAACATCTCAAAACTAATATTTCAATTACATTTAGAAAAAATTAAGTTTAAGGCAAGATGATATAAGATATATAGTATTCTATGAAGTAAATTTAGGAAGTATTAGGTAAGTTGCAAAGTTAGTTTTGGTGAAAAGTGTAATTTTATTACTATACACATTCTTTGGTAGTAATTATCCTCTTCAACTGGTATTAAAAGATAAATACTAACCAGATATATTTAGAGCTTCTTCACTGGGTCGACGTTGGCGCTGGCGAGACGCTCTCTCTCTAGTGATGCTGTCTACAGATCGTCTTCGCATACAACTTCTGCCTTGATAATTAGAACTACGACAGTCAGAATCTTGACGAACTCTCGAGTCTGAGGGATCCCGGCTTGGAATCTGAAAATTAAGAGAATAATTACATCTTTTGGGGGGGGATTCTGAATACAATATAATACAAATCAGGTATGACTCATTATGCCCTTTAAGAAACAATGGGAATTAACAAACTTTTTTTTTTAAATTTTTTCAGTCTGTCATGCAGATCTAATTTCTGATGCTTGGGGCCCTTCGTGTAGATCTACAACTTGTGCTCAGCTCACTCAGACAAGCCAAGTGGTAAATTTTGGCCTAGACATGAGAATGGATCTGTGCAGTGAGAGTGAACAGTATAAAAAAAAAAAATACTGCCCCATGCAGTGCATGATGGGAAAAGCAAAACTCTGACCTTATGTTTAGTTTAAAATAGTATCTTTGATGTGTTTTCTAGGATGGTTTTATTGGTATCAATTAATAAAATGGAAGATCTACTACTGAAATACAGGATTTTAGTACATTCCAGGAGTGGAAGTAGCTTGAAATTCACCTCAAAGTAGCTGAAACATTTTATTAATGCAGATTTTCTTGAGGATGGATAAGGCCCCTGTCTACAACCTCCCCCCCCCCCCAGTCTGTTTCATGGATTTTTACTAGGTCTGAATCAATTACTGGGACACAGTAAACCAAGACCAATCATTCCTGTTTATATTTTATTATCCAAGAAATAGGGCAAATCGTCTATTGTGTGAATGAGTTTAAAATGGAAAGAAAGTGTAAAATAAGATAGGCCTGGGATGTGATTAATAAAGAGAGCAAACATTTCAGTGCCTGAATATCTACAGTGTTTAGTTTTGGACTTTATTTTTAACTGAATTTTTTTAATTTTGTAAAATTGGCCAAATTACCAAATTTTGTGCACTTTGTAAAATAGTTTAGATGGGTGAGTGGGCAGTTGCTTGTGCTCAATTGATAGAGCAGCAGGCATACCAGTGAAAGAGCGAAGAATTTGGTCGAACTGACCAATGGAACTGACTTAAAAGAGGTTGCAAAGTGGCAAAAATCACCAATGTGTAAATTATACCCAGACTGCTAGCTCTGTATTGTCATTACCTTCAGAAAAAGATTCTCTACCATTTCAGATTTTATTTTAAAGGTGTACCTTGAACACTTTAAATTTTGGGCCTTTGGACAGTGAAAGGATTAATGGCCTTGTCATATGTAATGTTGGACAACATGAGAAATATGAATTTAAAAAAAAAAAAAGCATTACATTTTTCTTGACATTTCCAATTTTTTCTCAAGACCTGTTTCCATGATAAAATGTTTGAACTTCTAGAAAGGGAACTAGAGAGTAAGTGAAAGTGAATCTTTTTTTCTTCTTTGGATCACCCTCATTAGGGAAAAATGATACCTAACAAAAAATACACATTATGTTCACATTTATACAATGCACAATATAATATGCTGAGCTGAAGTTTAATACCTGTGCTCGCCTCTCCTCTCTTAGAGTGTTAATCATCATATTGTGATTGTTTCTTCTGTTGCACAAGGTGAACACTACACATAGGACCACCACCTCCACCACCATCAACAATACATGTTGCTCAACCACCGTATGGGCCAAGTTTTCACGTTCCTTAACCAGCTTTTTTAAGATGCTGCTAACACTTGCCAACTCATCTTCCAATGTTTCTATGTCCTTCTGGTGCTGCTGGTCACGCTGATAAGCTTGCCAAGATGTAGCATTAAGTGCTGCAATAGTTAAGTTGAACTGCTTTTGCATCTCCTCCATCTGACGCTTGTATCTCCGGCTTAGTTCTTCCAAGTACTGACTACTTATTGACATATTATACTCCAAAGCCTGAAATAATTTATTTAAATACTTTTATTAATACAGTATGCACTAATTCTGCAGAACTATAAATATAAAATCAATTATGAAGCACAGTATAGGAAAGCAGTTAATTATAGAATATAGAATGAACATATGACAGTGGTAGTGAAGATCATCGCTAGTATCCTTTTCAACCTGAATGGCTAGGGAATTCACTCGACAAATAAGGATAGGAAATACTGGAATAGCGATACCTGAACTTTCATATTACTGTACATTTCTTACCCAGTAGCATGTTTTGATATTATTATTATCATGGGGAGTGCTATACCTGTTGGGATTATACAGTGCCTGTGGGGAGGAAGGGGAAGGAAGGCATTCAGGATTAATTCAGGAAATTGGAACACAGATCCAATTTCCTAGATCAAAATTTCCTCACCAGCATCAAGGAACCTCCTTTGAGGGGAGCATTATTAGAAAGTAGCTTAGTGCCGCTACACTAACAAAATACCCATATCAATATATCAGCCACAAACTGTAAGTACTAGTACAGTATTTCATGAAAGACCACAAAAATATTACTACCTAACAAACTGTTCATTAGGTTGGTAGACAGCAACCATCCAGCGAGTTACTACCATCCTGCCACATTAGTGTGAAACGGAAGCCTATATTTGCTTAATGTGATGGTAGGATTGCAGGTGTCTTTCTGTCTCATAAACATATAAGATTTCAGGTACGTCTTGCTACTTCCACTTCCACTTAAGCCACAATACACATGCATGTACAAGCATATACTTATATACACACTCCTCTGGCTTTTCTTCTATTTTTTTAGTAGTTTTTGTTCTTGTTTATTTCCACTTATCTCAATGGGGAAGTGGAACAGAATTCTTGCCCCCATATGCTATGCATGTCATAAGAGGTGACTAAAATGCCAGAAACAAGGGACTAGTAACCCCTTCTCCTGTGTAAGTTACAAAATTTAACCCTTAAATGGTCCAAATGTATATATACGTTCTCCCGCCTAGCGCCCCAAACGTATATATATGTTTCCTTTGTCATTCATTCAACATTGGCACGATATGCCTGAGTCGCCTAGACATGAGAGAATGGGTGTGTGCACTCAGTGTGCACCATATGAAAATAATTGGGATGCCTGGGAACCAAATAGTAGTAGTTTGAACACAGAAAAGAACAAGGAGTAAAAACAAAAAGGACATGAGACTAAACAGAGTGAAGAAGTTATTCTTCTCTCTCTTTTTTCAACACACCTGCCATATCCCACTGAGGCAGGGTGGCCCAAAAGGAAAAAGGGAAATTTCTCCTTTTACATTTAGTAATATATACAGGAGAAGGGGTTACAAGCCCCTAGCTCCTGGCATTTTAGTCGCCTCTGACGACACGCATGGCTTACGGAGGAAGAATTCTGTTCCATTTTCCCATGGAGAAGAAGTTATTGTTCTATTGTATTTACAAAGCATTAGAACTTTATCATTATTCAGTGCTTTAATTTTTTTTTTTTTTAACAAGTTGGCCGTCTCCCACCAAGGCAGGGTGACCCAAAAAGAAAGAAAATCCCCAAAAAGAAAATACTTTCACCATCATTCAACACTTTCACCTTACTCACACATAATCACTGTTTTTGCAGAGGTGCTCAGAACACAACAGTTTAGAAGCATATATGTATAAAGATACACAACATATCCCTCCAAACTGCTAATATCCCGAAACCCCTCCTTTAGAGTGCAGGCATTGTACTTCCCATTTCCAGGACTCAAGTCCGGCTATATAAAAATAACCGGTTTCCCTGAATCCCTTCACTAAATATTACCCTGCTCACACTCCAACAGATTGTCAGGTCCCAAATACCATTCGTCTCCATTCACTCCTAGCGAACACGCTCATGCATGCCTGCTGGAAGTCCAAGCTCCTTGCCCACAAAACCTCCCTTACCCCTTCCTTCCAACCGTTTCGAGGACGACCCCGCCTTCCTTCCCCTACAAATTCAATGCTCTCCATGTCATTCTACTTTGATCCATTCTCTAAATGACCAAACCACCTCAACAACCCCTCTTCAGCCCTCTGACTAATACTTTTATTAACTCCACACCTTCTCCTAATTTCCACACTCCGAATTTTCTGCATAATATTCACACCATGCATTGCCCTTAGACAGTACATCTCAACTGCCTCCAACTGCCTCCTTGCTGCTGCATTCACAACCCAAGCTTCACACCCATATAAGAGTGTTGGTACTACTTACTTTCATACATTCCCTTCTTTGCCTCCATAGATAACGTTTTTTGTCTCCACATATACCTCAATGCACCACTCGCCTTTTTTCCCTCATCAATTCTATGATTAACCTCATCCTTCATAAATCCATCCGCCGATACGTCAACTCCCAAGTATCTGAAAACATTCACTTCTTCCATACTCCTCCTCCCCAATTTGATATCCAATTTTTCTTTATCTAAATCATTTAATACCCTCATCACCTTACTCTTTTCTATGTTCACTTTCAACTTTCTACCTTTACACACATGTAATAAATTTACACTATCAATATCAATTTGCTACAGTCTTGACCAATGCACTCTCATGTTTTGTCATAATCACAACGCAAGTAAAATCAGTAAAATCAATAAAATTATTTTATATCTATTTTTCACATTTCACAATCTGTGTCCATGCCACGGGCCAAGAAAGTGGGCATTTACTGTAGATGAAAGGAGAAGTGTTCCCCAAGAAAGGTTGGAGATGGAGATTTTGAATGATTAAGGGCTTCAGCTACCAGCTGGAATATGTGAGCACGTTATATCGCAGCAGAGAGAAGTGGTTTTTGGAATTTGATGTGCTACTGGTGAGTGAGCAAGTTAGCATTTACTAAAGGATTCAAGGAAACTGGTTCACTGGATTTTTAGGGATAGAAGGTTCAAGTGCCTACACTCTGGAGGATGCACGTAGATGTTACAGTTTAGACGACTATTTAAATTGTGACATGTGCACAATTCATTTAATTATGGAATGAAAACTGGCAAATGGGTTCCCTTCTCTGGGTTATCCTACCTTGATGGGAGATAATCATTGTTCTAAAAAACTTTACTGCTGCAAAACATTCTTCACTGTTGAGAGTTACAGATGTTGCCCTTGTGAGTTACAGATATTCTAGCCTCACCTCTTTTAATAATAATCATTCCATGACTTGCCTATCATCATACCACCACGAAGAACCAAAGGCACAATACTGCGACTGGAACAATGCACAAATAACCCGCACATAGAAGAGAGGAGCTTACGACAAAGTTTTGGTCCGACTTGGACCTGTGACATTGTAAAGGTCAAAGTCGGACTGAAATGTTACCATAAGCTCCTCTCTCTCATGTGCAAGTTATTTGTGTATCATACCACCACACTTGCACCTCAGACTGCCTGTCTCTACTGATTTAAGCCATGCTACATCAGTATTTTGCATCTATACATTAGGAGGTTAAAAGCAGGTGGGGATATAGTTTTGGAGTGGTTGGTGCAATTATTTAATAAATGTATGGAAGAGGGTAAGGTACCTAGGGATTGGCAGAGAGCATGCATAGTTCCTTTGTATAAAGGCAAAGGGGATAAAAGAGAGTGCAAAAATTATAGGGGGATAAGTCTGCTGAGTATACCTGGTAAAGTGTATGGTAGAGTTATTATTGAAAGAATTAAAAGTAAGACGGAGAATAGGATAGCAGATGAACAAGGAGGCTTTAGGAAAGGTAGGGGGTGTGTGGACCAGGTGTTTACAGTGAAACATATAAGTGAACAGTATTTAGATAAGGCTAAAGAGGTCTTTGTGGCATTTATGGATTTGGAAAAGGCGTATGACAGGGTGGATAGGGGGGCAATGTGGCAGATGTTGCAAGTGTATGGTGTAGGAGGTAGGTTACTGAAAGCAGTGAAGAGTTTTTACGAGGATAGTGAGGCTCAAGTTAGAGTATGTAGGAAAGAGGGAAATTTTTTCCCAGTAAAAGTAGGCCTTAGACAAGGATGTGTGATGTCACCGTGGTTGTTTAATATATGTATAGATGGGGTTGTAAGAGAAGTAAATGCGAGGGTCTTGGCAAGAGGTGTGGAGTTAAAAGATAAAGAATCGCACACAAAGTGGGAGTTGTCACAGCTGCTCTTTGCTGATGACACTGTGCTCTTGGGAGATTCTGAAGAGAAGTTGCAGAGATTGGTGGATGAATTTGGTAGGGTGTGCAAAAGAAGAAAATTAAAGGTGAATACAGGAAAGAGTAAGGTTATGAGGATAACAAAAAGATTAGGTGATGAAAGATTGAATATCAGATTGGAGGGAGAGAGTATGGAGGAGGTGAATGTATTCAGATATTTGGGAGTGGACGTGTCAGCGGATGGGTCTATGAAAGATGAGGTGAATCATAGAATTGATGAGGGGAAAAGAGTGAGTGGTGCACTTAGGAGTCTGTGGAGACAAAGAACTTTGTCCTTGGAGGCAAAGAGGGGAATGTATGAGAGTATAGTTTTACCAACGCTCTTATATGGGTGTGAAGCATGGGTGATGAATGTTGCAGCGAGGAGAAGGCTGAGGCAGTGGAGATGTCATGTCTGAGGGCAATGTGTGGTGTGAATATAATGCAGAGAATTCGTAGTTTGGAAGTTAGGAGGAGGTGCGGAATTACCAAAACTGTTGTCCAGAGGGCTGAGGAAGGGTTGTTGAGGTGGTTCGGACATGTAGAGAGAATGGAGCGAAACAGAAGGACTTCAAGAGTGTATCAGTCTGTAGTGGAAGGAAGGCGGGGTAGGGGTCGGCCTAGGAAAGGTTGGAGAGAGGGGTAAAGGAGGTTTTGTGTGCGAGGGGCTTGGACTTCCAGCAGGCATGCGTGAGCGTGTTTGATAGGAGTGAATGGAGACAAATGGTTTTTAATACTTGACGTGCTGTTGGAGTGTGAGCAAAGTAACATTTATGAAGGGGTTCAGGGAAACCGGCAGGCCGGACTTGAGTCCTGGAGATGGGAAGTACAGTGCCTGCACTCTGAAGGAGGGGTGTTAATGTTGCAGTTTAAAAACTGTAGTGTAAAGCACCCTTCTGGCAAGACAGTGATGGAGTGAATGATGGTGAAAGTTTTTCTTTTTCGGGCCACCCTGCCTTGGTGGGAATCGGCCAGTGTGATAAAAAAAAAAAAAAAAAAAAAAAAAAAAAAACATTATGATTGGAACAAACTCTCATCTACCCTTTCTTATCATGGTCTTCCCTAAAATGACTTATTGTACAAGCCATTTTTTTTTCAATAATACTCCACTACTTTTGTCAACAATACCTCATAGCTAACTCAAAAAATTACAATACTAATTTCACACCTATAAAGCAGATATTATTCAACAAACTAATTATTTCTTAAGTACTGGAGACATCAAAGTTAATTATTCCAAAATTAAGATTAAATATTTATGCACCTTAGAGTGGCACCTAAGAAGTGAAATATGGGCACAACCAGCCTGATATCTATCCCTAAAATACAGGGAGTGTGTATGAATCCCAACAGAGATATAGGACAGTACCCACCTTTATCTTATTAGAGAGACGAACAACCACAGACTCCTTATTGGTTGGAGATGTTGATGAAATTTTTGATTCAACAGGTTGTTGTGCAACTGGAACTGGTGGTGGTGTGGTTAGATCATCACTTTGTGAAAACTCTACTTCCTCTAGCTCTATTCCTCCAAAGCTTGATCCATCCACCTCTACTTTCTCCTCTGTCTCAGTAATATTGTCCTGGTTCACTTCTTTAATGGACTTATTCTGATGTCCATTACTGCTAACTTTAGATTTTTTGGGAGGTTTTGGCATTTCAGTGGGTGAACTTTCTGAACTAGCCAAGGATATAGATTCATTTACCTCCTGAAATTCCTGCTCCACTGTTACTTGCCCACCTACATCTCGAGTAGGTTTAGTCCCATGAGAATCAGGAGTTACACTCCTGTTGGTCTCAGGTTCATCTGCCTTTGTTACACTAGAAGTATTTATTTTTGCATTTTTTACGTAAGAGGGCACGTCATCTGATGGTGAGATGATGTCTGAAGATGTAGTGGAGAAGTTCTCAGATAAACGACTGCTGCTAGAATCACACTCCACTTCTGCATCCATAATGCGATTATCATGCATAAAACACATTGCCAGTACATGCTTTGGTGATAACATTACACATACATAACTGTTATTGCATACAGTATCATACACAATGCTGTCATTGACTTCTGGTTCCAAGCACATGGTAGATGCTAACTGACGGCAGAAACTTGAATTCTTGACAGCACGTGACACAACAGGCTTCTGCATAAGAACTTCATACTCTGCCCAATAACAAGAGAGGATGTAGTTCAGAGACTCTGCCATAGAGCATCTACTTTTATCAACTGAAAATTTAGGATGGAGGGAGTAGCAATATTCTCCGGGTTCACTGGCACTGCTGCTGGGTCGATATCCTCTTTTAATAACATCCAACACTCCACTAAACATGTTTTTCAGTACAGTAGGGATCACACCTGGCTTTCCCTCATCTGTTGGCAATAAAGAAATTACTGTCAGTACAAATCTTCTTTGAAACTAAACAAGTTTTTCTTTAATTTTTCTTTCACAATAATTACTACAATTTACATCTTTGATATTCTGTTTACCCAGAAACAACTCTTCCAGGTAATCTTCATGCAAGAATTTATTTCAAAATTGCATTTTTCAAAGCTTGTATACAATAAACATTTACTTATTTATATAATCTAATATTCTTAATTTAACTTTATATAACTTTAAAATAATATTACTACAGACTACCAATTGTGTTAATACCTTTGGATTTTTTCACAGCCTCCTCCTCTTCAAAAGGATCACCAAATGCTTCTTCATTTTCATCATGGTCTGTTGCGTCCTCTATTGTATCAATCACCTCAAATTCAGATAAACCATATATACGAAAGAGAGATATGGGACAGAAGAACTCCGATCCATAATGACTTAAAACTTCTACCTGAAAAATAAATGTTTCTGGTATTCAAGTCTCTATCCTCAGGCATCTACTTTATCAAGGCTAAGGGACTCAATACCTTTTATCAAGTGCAACACTTGATTATCTTTTTTGTGGAAAGGTTTCACCATACAACAGCTTCATCAGTCCAATACATTGGACTAAGATATTTTATTATTCAAACAATACCTACATCTCCATTAAATCAAACTTCAAATTATAAAGTAATGCAACATTTTCAATAAATCTATATTGTATAATAAATGCCAATATAAATACCTTTATATACTTGAAAAAATCTTCTGTTTCAATAGGAAATGACTGAACTCCACGGTTTCCTTCTTGTCCCACAGCACGGCTAAGATTAGTCCAATCTCTTGTTGGGTATCTGTGACTTCCAAACACCTGAATGTCTTTAGGTAGGTTGCTGAACAGCTCAAAGTTTGCTATATCAAACTGAAAATTATATAACATTTTCAGAACTTTAGTTAATGTTAATTATTTTAGTACAGGTCTCCTTTATTTTATGCAGGTTCTCTTTATGTGAATTTGCTGTTATATGATGTCCTGTTTCTATATATGTGACTGAGGGTAGCCACAAGTAATTAGGATAGTTTGCATAGTGCATTGAGGATTCTTACTATGAATAGTTAAAAGTGTTTCTGGCCTGAGTGTAATATGGATGCTTAGTACAAATGCCAAAGGTCTGGAACTCATCTACAGCATAATTTAAAAATTATATTATATTAAAACATTTCATAAACAGCTTTGAAAAGGGACCCTATCTTGTCAGAAAAGGGGTGAGCCATTTTTCCAATCTAGGAGATATGTTGACTGTAAACTTTAACTTAAAAACTACTATCTTTGAAGGATTATGGCTCCTCTATTTAATTTTTCTGCTACAGGTACTCCATTTTTATATTTGCTTATCTGTTAGAACCAGAATTCATTATCCACAAACACACACAGATGAACATATCATTTATTTTCACACTGCAAGTAACAACTAAAAATTTCACACAAACTAATATTTTTCATAATCATCACTGTTTCTCATTTAAAATACAAGCACCATTGAAAATATAAGTTACTCTCCTAGTAATCTTTACCTTCTATTACTATGATTTCTAAACTATGCTTCCTAATGCATCTTTTACATCTATAACTGCCAGTAGTGATGAATGAGACACTCGTGCAGCATCTGAGTATCTTTATTGTTGAAGTGTTGGATGGTGAGAAGGAGTTTGAGGTAATCAGTCCCTCAGCCTGGAGCCAATGTGTTCAGTCCATCAATCTTAATAATAGTATAGCACATATGTGAAGGGGCTAATATACTGCAGACAGGAGAGATGAAGCAATTAGAGGTGGCATCACTAGTGGAAAAGTCCATTAGTGGAAGTAGGCCATGTATTTTTCTGCTAGTGATGCCACCTTCAACTGTCTGACCCCATTCGTCTGCTGTATATAATCTCCTTCTCTATGCATATAATGTATTTTTAACAAGGTTGATGGACTGGGCACATTAACTGGCTAAGGGACTGATTACCTCTGTGTTGAATGAGGAAACCACTGGCTGGCAAAATATTTCAACACCAAAGATACTCAAATGTTATACAAGTGTCTCATTCATTAACTTGTCAGTTTTCTAAACCACTTATATAATAACAGTAGTGATGGAATTCATACATAGTACATTATATTGTGTGTGTTCAGAAATACATCTTGGAAGCTGCTGGCTAATAAAATGCAGAGAGATTTAATATTTCTAAAAGCATTCAAAAAATCTTACCTTTTGTGGTCGAATGCTCTCACACAGTTCAATGATGAACCAAATTTTATCTCGACATTTGTTGAGCATGTATTCATCTTTATTGGACTGGATCACCTAGAAGAAAAAAATTCTATCACTCAGTATTGAACACTATTCACCCAATAAATAGTGCCCTGAAATCAACAAAACAAAAAGGAGCATTGCTTGTAAGAGATACGCTTGTAGAATTACAATATAAAAAATAAAACATTCAGGAAAGGACACAACAAGATTTTATTGCAACTGACTCACTGTTTAGAGCTTCATGTTTTGACTTAATAGAGCTCTATACAGAACAAAAAAGTGACTTAATAAAAGCTTTTCTTTGGATCATGTCTTTCTTTCCTACTGCTGACAGTATACAATTTGGATCAAAATGTAAAAGTGATGAATGATAAAAATATATAACAAAGGGCAGTCATAAAGGAAAATAAACAAAATTAATAACAGATAAAAGTCCTGAGAACACTAACTGAGATTGCAGAGAAGTAACAAAAAATTCTTAAACCTCGAAAACCCTAAACTCAAAACTGACACAAACCTATTTTTTTATAAATTTACGGAAAAAACATTTTCACTAAAAAATAATGAAAACAATGACAACTCAAACTCTGCTTTTAAATTATTGGTTATGGTTTAAAAATTATTTTCATTTGTTTACAGTAATTCATTTTTTTACCTTCGTGATTAAAGCTTGGGGATTGGCAATCACAGTTTCGCCCCAAAAGCCCTGGAGAAGATAATTTTTTGCTTTTTTTATTTTTGGGCCTTTACTATGGCCTTACCACCAGGGGCCTTTGTGATAACTGCAAAAAAAAAAATAATATCTTAAATCAATATCTTAAAACAATGTGACACCCCCGTGAAATTACTCGACAAAAAAAAATTTATGTATCCCAAATATACCTTTTGACAAAAAAAATATCCTACCACATTCTTCTTTTCTGCATTGACCCCTGGAAAAGGGCTTAATTTTCTAAAGTATCCGGTGACTTTTCATCATTTCCCGGTGGTTTGCCCAGGTACCTCTTTTTTTTTCTGATTTGCCAGTGTCCTTTTTTTTTTTTCTTATCTTTCTCTAATTTTCCCATCGGGGTTTTTGAGTTTGAATCAAGTTCATGTCATTTTTCAGAAATGGGTTTTATTTTTTCTTTTACCTTTCATCTGCAAGTAGTCAGTTAGTGGTTCTCCAATTTTTGGCATCAATCTTGAATGTATCCTTGGGTTTTCCTTTTCATGCTCAACTATTTTATAAATATATTTTTTTTGTTGTATTTATTTCCCTGTCCCACATGGGTTCTTCTACAGTGGGGGTGTGGCATTTTCTGAAAGTTTTTTTTAATCTCTTGGGCTGGTCCAATTTTACCTTTTTGGCATTAGGTTTCTGCTGTAAATTTTGTTTTTCCCCCCTCCTTTGCATTTCTTCTAACTGTGGTTCTTTTTTTTTCTTCCCTTACTCTTCCGAGTTTTTTTCCCTTCAAAAATCTTGCTATTTTTCTTCTGGGCATCTACAAATTGTGTCCCTTTCTTTTCACTGGGCCTGCTGACTTGATCTGTCCCATCATTAACTGTAATATTTTTTTCCTGTGAAGGCAGGCTTACATGGGGTGGTGTGTTCTTGCTGTCCCAACATTATCTTGGGTACCTTTGGTTGTCCCACGACCGCATTGTTCTGTCCTTATCATAAAGTAAAATTTTTTACGGGGATCTAAAAGGGAACCCCTTTCATTTAAGTAGAGATTCAGGTTTCACCCGGGTTTGCATGAAGAACTTTTTTTGTTTTGAGGAAGATTGCTTGGTTTGTGGTGACATTGATTAACATCTCTCCTCCCTCAAAGCACCTAGAACTTCTTCTCCAATGTTACTTCATTTCCATATTTTGTACACTGAAAAAAAGGGAGATAAAATTGTTAATAAATTTTCCATAGCTACCTTTAAAATTTTTATAATGACATGCTATAAATTCCAAAAACCGTGTCCAAGAAAACCCAATTTTGAAGACATTTAAAATTTGATTATTTATGCGTCATAAAACCAGATATCCCAGAAAACTTTTGGAAAGAGTGGGTTTCATTTGATCCCCTAATATGGTACTGATTTGCATTATAATATATATAATAATATAATATATATATTATAATATATATATATATATATTATATATAATATATATTATTATATATATATATATGCATATATAAATATAGTATATATATAGTGAGGTGTTGGCAACCCCCCAAATTTACCTTCCTTGGATGCTTTACTTTCATAGTTCCTTGATAATGTGAGTAGTCACAAGGTTTGGGAATTTCCATTCTTTCAGATGGTTTTTTGATGTTGTGTGATGTGTGTATATTAATATATAGTATTAATATATAGTAGTAATATATATATATATATATATATATATAGTAGTATATATATAGTTATATATATTATATATATATATAATATATATTATATATATATAAATTATATATATTATATATAATAATATATATATATATATAAAAATTATATATATAGGTGTAGGTTTGGTAGACAGCAACCACCCGGGAAAGTACTACCGTCCTCCCAGATGACGTGAAACAAAAACCTGTAACTGTTTTGCATAGGGTAGGTTGCGGTTTCTTTTTTCTTCCATAAACACGCTAGATAAAAGGGATACTTGCTACTCCTACTTACACTTTGGTCCCACTTCACAGACACGCCATGCATAATATATACAACATCGGTTTTTCTCCTTTTTCAAAATACCCTTTTGTTCTTCTTTATTTCTTTTTTGTCCAGGGGGAATGGAAAAGAATTTTTCCTCCGTAACCAGCGGTCGTTGAGGCGACTAAAACCCGGGAGCAAGGCAGAAAACCCCTTCCCTTGACATTTACTAAAAAAGAGAAGAAAAAAACTTAAAAAATGGGTGCTTAAATGTGCGTGGATGTATGCGATGACAAGAAACAATGGTGATGTTATAATGAAAAAATTTGGGATGTCCTGGCCCAAAGCGAAACAAAGTGAAGGGGGTGGAGTTTTTTCGGGGGGGGGAAATAAATGGGATTAAATTGGGTATCTAGAGAGTTAAAAAAGGGAAGGGGGAAGCAGTAATGTTAAATGATCTTTATGGAAGGGAAAAAGAATATGAATTTAAATTCAAGAATTTTGTGGATTAAAGTAAGGTTTTATGCGAGAAGTGGGTCTAATAAGGTGTATGCACCTGGAGAAAAGAGGAAAAACAGAGGAAGAGAGAGTTTTGGGGGGATGTTTAAAATGAATGATAGAGCCTTTGAACCAAGTGAGGAGTAAATTGGGGGTAGGGGACCCGAAGCTAAAGAGGAAAACTTTTAGGGGAGGGTTGGTAGGGAAGTTTTTGGGGTCCAGGGAAATGAAAATGGGAGCCCCTTTTATTTACAGAAAAGGGGGTTTGTTATAGGTAATACAATTTTAAGAAAAAAAAGGAAAATAAGTATCAAGATTTGATAGGGCGAAAAACAGTAGTTTTTTTGGGTTATGTATTGGGAGATAAAAGATGTTGAGAGATTTCAGGATGTACATTTATAGGGGCCACAGATATTCAATCACTTTCTAGTTGTACTACCGAGAGTAAAAGGAGATGGGTACAAGGAGAATAGAAGCATCGGAAAAAGGAGGTAAGGTTTTTAAAATAAAAGAGGAGGCAGTTAGGGTAAGATATAAAAGCTATTGGAGGAAAAATGGGCTAATGAGACATAGGCAAAGGGGGCGAAGAGGTATGGGGTGGTTTTAAAAAAGGTGTTAGAGGTTAGAGAAGTTTGTGGTTACAGGAAAGTCGGGGCGGAGGGAAAAGGACAATTGGTAAAGATGAGTAAAAGAGATAGTAAGGGAGAAAAAGTTAGCATATAAAGTTTTTACAAAGTAGAATGAGCAAGGGGGGGAAAGTATAGGAGAAAAAAAGAGAGGTTAAGAGAGTGGTGAAGCAAAGTAAAAAGGAGCAAAAAAGGGGTGGGTGGATGTTATCAACAAATTTTGTTTTAAAATAAAAAAATTTTGGAGTGAATTAAACAAGTTAAGAAAACCTGAGAAAAAATGGATTTTTTTGTCAGTTAAAAAATAGGAGAGGAGGTTATTAAATGGGGAGTTTTGAGGTATTGGGAAGATGGGGGGAATATTTTTGAGGAATTGTTAAATGTTTTTTAAGATAGGGGGCTGTATTTCTGATAGGGCAAGGAGAATAAAAACTTTTAGGATGAGGAAACCATTGTGAGTGTGGGGGAAGTTCGTGAGGCATAGGTAAAAATGAAAGGGGGGAAAGGAGCCCGGGGTTTATGGGGTAAAGATAGAAAATGTTAAAAAACAGGTGGGGATATAGTTTTGGGGTGGTTGGTGCAATTTTTAATAAAAGTTGGAAGGGGTAAGGTACCTAGGGATTGGCAGGAGCACATAGTTTCCTTTGATAAAGGCAAAGGGGGTAAAAAAAGGTGCAAAAATTATAGGGGGGGTAAGTTGTTGAGTATACCTGTAAAGTGTAGGAGAGTTTAATTGAAAAATAAGAGTAAGACGGAGAAAAGGAAACAATAACAAGGGCTTTAGGAAAAGGGAGGGGGGGTTTGGACCAGGTTTTACAGTGAAAAAAATAATGAACAGTATTTAGATAAGGCTAAAGAGGGCTTTGTGGCATTTATGGGTTTTGGGAAAAGGGTTGACAGGGTGGATGGGGGGGAATGTGGCAGAGTTGCAGGTGATGGTGTAGGAGGTAGGTTACTGAAAGCAGTGAAGAGTTTTTACGAGGATAGTGGGCTCAAATTGAGTATGTAGGAAAGAGGGAAAATTTTTTCCCCCTAAAAGTGGCCTTAGACAGGGATGTGGATTCACCGTGGTTGTTTAATATATTTATAGATGGGGTTTTTAAAAGAAATAAATGCGAGGGTCTTGGCAAGAGGCGTGGAGTTAAAAAAATAAAGAATCACACACAAGTGGGGTTGTCACGCGCTCTTTCTGATGACACTGTGCTCTTGGGATTCTGAAAAAGAAGTTTAGAGATTGGGGGATGAATTTGGTAGGGGGGTGCAAAAAAGAAAATTAAAAGGAAAAACAGGAAAAAGTAAGGTTTTGAGGGTAACAAA